TAGCTTTACCACTGTTCCCAATGTCAAGAATGGGTCTGGGTCTGCCTGATGAATGAACACAAAATCCAAGGAATTTAGCAGAGCAAAATGTTCTACTTCTGCAGCAGGGTGCAAAGCCACTTTAAATTCCCTAAGCAAGTATATTCAGTGTGGGTCCTGCTGGGCCTTTAACTCTAAAACAAAGAAGTCCTGTGCCTGTCTCTGAGTGCTCAGAGCTTGGCCTCACTTTCTTATGAGACTGGCCATATAAAGCAGTGCAATGACTAGGAAGAATGGCATAGATTTTGACCCTAGCAAAATGCTTACTCCACAGCTCTTCTTGCCAATGGAGTCTTCCCACATTTCTTTCAAGGTGGCACTTCCTCTGTCCTCTTTAGCCCTTTGCTAGAAGACAGTATGTTTCATGTGGGTTTCCCAGACCAAGGAACTAGAGCAAAGATTCTCAGCCACTCTGACTGCTTTCAAGTAACTCCACATGCCATGGGGTTCACATTTCACATGACTCCTCTGTGTTCCCCAATCCAAGATACATGCTGCAGTCCCTTCTGGATCCCAGGGATGCGTTAGGACCTACTGTGCACTGAGATTGTTTCTAACACTTGGGGCATGCTCAGTGACCACTGTTACAGTATCATTAAAATTCCTGTGCCGTAAACCCGTTGAGCTTAAATACTAGTCAGGCTTTAGCTACACACCATCGCTTGCTTGTTTCCTTTGAGGTTCTTGAGACAGGGTCTCATGCAGCCCAGACTTGCATTGAATTTGCCATGTAGCTGGGGTTCACTTTGACCTTGAATTCCTTATGCTTCTATCATTTATGTGCTGGGCTTCCAAGCATATGCTTTGTCTTCAGTTGTCAATCACCTCAAAAGATAAAGTCAGATTTCCAATTCCAGAAATTTAGTGAGGGGTGGGGAGACTATTCAGTACTTAGGAACATGTACTGTTCTTACGGTGGAGGTGCATTCCATTCCCACACCTGCTCAGGTGACTCACAACTCTCTGTAACTACAACAACGGGGGAAGACTCAAGATTTAGCCGGCACCTTCACTCTAGTGCATATACCCACACACAGACACAGGATATATATATCTCGGAGGGAGGGAGGGAGAGGGAGAGGGAGAGGGAGAGGGAGAGGGAGAGAGAACAGATTTTTAAAGAAAAAGTAATTAAATACTATGAAATGTTGTACAGTACTGAGATCTGGAAGGTGAGGGCAACGGACCATTACAAGATGTGTTCTCCCCCAGCCTTGGGACCTGGTTTTGTCCCCGTGATGATATTATCAGTGTTCTGTAACATATTTAATAGAAGAGGCCAATAAGACATTGGATGGGAAACTGATGACTAGCACTGGAACAGAGTTCTTTGAGGGGGCTCAGGCCTGCATGGCCCTCTCCTGCAGGGTTTCTACCCATGTAGTCCATTCCCTGTGTAAGAACGTCAGTCATTGAATTTTCAAGGCTCTGTATGTGAGCTTCAATCCCAGCACCCAGTCAGCTGAAGCAGAAGCAATAGCTCCTGGTTCATCTGAGCTACAGTTAAGATAATGTCGAAGAGTTGGACTTAGAAATTGAGCAAAATCTACAAATATGTTCCCAAATTGTTTATTCTCCCCTGAGGTAGGGTGGGTGACTCCTGGGAGTTTAAAGGTCTTTGACAGGAAGTGGAGGTTGAGGAGTAGGTGGTACACACACACACACACACACACACACACACACACACACGCACGCACGCACGCACGCACGCACGCACACACACACACACACACACACACACACACACACACACACATACATCTCCTGATTTACACACTAAGGAATGAGCAGAAGCCAGTGTAGGACTCTTGATGGAAGAGAACATTAGTAGGACCTTGCGTCTCAGGTTGCCCGGAGAGTCCAGGTTCAGCTTGTTCTCCAGCAGCTAATTTACAAACCTAGACATCTTCATTTCTGTCAGTGAATGACAATTTGCCAATGCCATTCTAGCACATTAGGAATGCTATGGGGGTGAATGCAGAGAAGACACTTCCTGCGGGGAACATAAACAAAGCTCTCAAAGTTACTAGGGAATGGTTCAACTAGAAATAAAAATGATACCCTTGATTAGAAGAAAGCATCATGAGGCTTTCTGATGACATGTTCAATTTTCCTTTTAACCCTTCCTGCACCACCTCGCCCTAATTTAGAGTACTCCCTTGAGGAAAAGAAGACGGGATCACTGAGGTAAGCTGGTGTGGCCTGTGCCATTTCCTCTTCTACCCACAGTCTCGGAGATTTCTTTTTTCTTTTTTCTTCCTCCTTCTTCCCAACCTTCTCGTCCTTCCTCCTCCTCCTCCTCCTCCTCCTCCTCCTCCTCCTCCTCCTCCTCCTCCTCCTGGACCTCATTCTCTCCCCCTCCTTCTCCTCCTCCTCCTCCTCCTTCTCCTCTTTCTCCTCTTCTTCTAGACAGAGATGCCTTGCTTGGCTCCCACTGTTCACTTTGGATTCTAAAATTAGTTTCTGGAGCCCCTCTCCTGTTACCATACCTTCCAGGGATGTGTCAGCATCCTGATTTCCCAACCATTGTGTCTGAACTGGTACCAAAGGAGCTCCTCAGCTTTGACAATTTGTAGCAAGTGCTGAATGATAGATTTTGCTTTCTGGAGCTGGTATTGAAAGAGTTGCTTTGATTTGCTCTTTGGTTTTACTTGAGGTGTCTTTCATTGGGTGCCTATTGTATTAAAGATGATGAAAGGGCTAGAGATACTCAGTGGTAATGCTCTTGCACAGGCCCAAGCTCAGCTTCCAGCACGCACAACTGCCTGAAATTCCATTCTGTAGGGATAGGATAGCCCAGCATTCATAGACTCCCGAATTCATGTGCATATATCCACACACATACAGACCCTGATATGCATAATTAAAAATAAAATTATATTTAAAAAACAGTAACTGAAGGGCATGCATGTGGTACATGTATACTAAAAAAAACAAAATAAATGTAAAAATACTAAAAACTGAAAATAAAATCAAAGATCATGGGAGTTAATAGCCAGGTCCTTTTAGATGCTTTCAAGTAAGGTTTGGCAGCTTGAGTGAGTCCCACTAGAAAAGGGGATTTGGAGCTTGATAATTCCTGCAGAAGCAGGGAGTGCAAAGGAATCCTGGCAAGTCTGTGACTCTGCTGTTCATAACAAGTTCTCTTTGCTCAATTATAGTAGCTGTCTGCCTTGTAGGTTCTTTAATTGATTGTATTTCTGAAGCTTTCAGTCTCTTCTCTGAAAACCCCTGTACCTTCTCTGTGACATGTGGTTACCTATATTCCTATAAAGCCATCTAGTCCGCTTCATTTGCTTCACTTGGCTCTACACAGGGCCATTTTAAAATCAAACCCCACACCCCTCTGGCTACTGTCCACTACACCTACTTGTCCTTTGTGGATTGCTTCTACAGAGACTTCTCCGTGTCCGACTTAATCACGTGAGCCAATGTGATTATGTGTGAGTGTGTTTTCTGTGGATTCTGGCGCATCATAAGTGCCCAGGACACTTGCCTGTTACTGCTTCCATCAGACTCTTCCTGGTAATGAATATGTTACAGCTCATACACTGTTAGTCATCCTACAGACTGGAAAAGAGGTCCAGAAATGTGAAAGGGTGTCCCAGGTTACACTGCAGAGCTTAACGGCCTCAGTCTGAGGAATCCATGCCCAGAATTCCTTTCACCAACTGTTTCTGAGACTGGAAAGGAAATATTCCTTATAGGAAAAACCCGCCACCCCAAACCCAGCATCCATTTAGCTCTTTGATTCCTCATAGTGTTTTGTTCCCTAAAGGTTTATTTTTTAATTTTAATTGTGATTTTATTAAAACTTTTTCTCTCACTTATATCACACTGACTGTTCAGAGCCTCTTGACCCCCACACTGTTTCCATACATGTGCGTGTGTGACTTTCCATGTGGAGAGCAGCTTTTCCTCATCTGCTTTGTGATTCTCAGGGCAGGCATATCTTCATGTGGCCGACTGGAGACGCTCAGTTTGGTTCTATTTCAGTAGTAGAAATGGCCGCTGTGTACAAAGGACAAAATAACCCTGTGTCGAAGCATCACCCCTGAGTTCCTCTGTTTTCTTCTCTGGTTTGCCCCTCCATGAGTTCTAGAATCTCAAATGTCAGTCCACTGTGCCTACCCTGATTAACAGGGGCACAGGATGAGCTCTGCGAGTGACGCCCCTCCCACAGCTGTTGGGTTGGGCCAGCTGTGAACACCTGCAGAGCTCTCCCCAAATTCCTTTCAGTCCAGTGCTTGATGTTTGTGTGCATGTGACCTCTGTGAATGTGTGTCATACAGTAATCTTTGAAATTGTGCCACAGACCACCAGCTCCAGTGAAAAGACACTGCTGTGTTGCTTGACATGTTTTTCTACTCCATGCTTAATGTCAGAGGATGTAGATGCTATGCAGATTTCAAAACTCTTTGAAACTAAAAATTTATTTATGTATTATTATTTTGGGTGGTGTGTACGTGTGCACGTGAACAGGACCTATAGCTCCTGTGGAGGTCAGAGGACAGCTTTGGGGAGCTGGTTCTCTTCTTCTACCTTTACATAGGATCTAGGGATCTAATTCAGGTCACCTGTCACTCCTAACACTTTCTAAAGGGTCACCGTCCAAAGCTGTAAATACACCAAACATCTAGTTCCTAGCCCAGTTCCTACATGCACATCGTGATTAGATAACTAATCATGGTGCTAGAGATCTGTCTTTTTAGATCCTCCATTTTTGTGAAGGATGCCAATATGAGCTGATATTTTTACAAATAGTTTTTGGTTTGTTTGATGCTTATTAAACTAGTGTTTCTCTGATTTAACACCAGGTCCCTGTGTGGTGCTGTTGTTCACTGTTACAGTTTTGTGAATGGGGCTCCAGGAGTTCTGAGTATGGGTCATGAATGAAAGCTCTGCTCAGTCTTGGAAAGTGATCTCTTCTGCCTTCAGCACCTCTCTTTCCTTCTCTGCAGGTTGGAAACCCATGGCTCTAAGATTGGAGCTTTGCAAAATACAGTGGTCATGAGGCCCCGCAGTGAAGACAAGGTCTGCATTATAGAAGACAGTCTTCATGTCAAGGATTAAGTCTCCGTTGCCCACTGAGGGTCTTTCTCCTGTGATTGCAGCAAACAGCATCTGGATATGACCACGCTGACCACCCTTTAATCTCCAGGGCTATTTTCTGTGTCAGTTCATCTGGTGATCTCACTTGCCAGCATTAGTGGAGAGGATGGCCCTGGAGCTGTCTCTATGCACACTCACGGTTGACATCATGCTAGTCTCTCAAGGCAGTGGGGAGTGCTCTCTCAAACATGGACATGTTAGACTTGAATGTTTTCTTTAGACCTCATAATTCTTGTGTCCATGAAAGACAACTATTGGTAATTCAGAAAATGAGCTTCTATCTTGGTTACTAAAATCATCTCTATGAGAGGAATAGGATGATAAAATTAAAGGAGGGAACTTAATTTAGAAGCACCTTGTGATTATATCATGTTTATTTTATTGTAACTTAAAATGTCACTTTCTTCCCTTCCTTGAGAGGATTAAATCATGGGAAATCCAAGTTTTAATTTTTCTCATAGATAAATAGATGGGAGTCGAGTTTAATGTCACCATTAGAGGTGTGTATGCTTTCTCATGGCTCTGGAAATATGGTTCATTGTTATGTAGTTGCATATAATGTCCATAATACTTACTATGATTCCACATGACTATAATTTTGGAACTCAGGAAGTTGAGACAAGAGAATTGAAAGGGTAGGGCCAGATTGAGCTACTTAAACAGTTTCCAGGCCATTCTGAGCAATGAGACATTTTCTCAAAAAAACGAACATGTCAGGGATAGTGGTTCAACCAGTACTCTTAGCTCTCAGGAAGCTGAGGCAGGAGGACTGCCATGATTTCCATCCCAGCCTGGGTTGTATGATATTAGTTTGAGGTCAGACTGGATGCAGAGAACTGCAGGGCTTCCAGGCTTGTTGGTTGGAGTCAGAATCTGTGAGATTGCCCTGCTCCCAGTTCCCGTGCATTGTGTCCTGAGGCTTCCTGTTCAGAACCACCATGGTGGGGAGAATTGTGGACCAGTTCTGTGAACATGCAGTGACTGGCTAAGGGCAGCTGACAGTCAGAAAAATGGGCATTGTTGCCCAGAAAAACAACCTACCTATCTGGAATTTGAGCAAATGGTCTGTTTTCTAGCCCCAAACCAATCAGTTTCTGTCTGTGTGGTTCTCACTGTGTGTGTCTGTATATGTCTCTGTCTCTCTCAGCACAGTGAATAAACATACTTGACAAATAAGAAGCTTGTTCATTTTGTTTTATTATTTAATATTAATTACTTTATAATGAATTTATATATAAATGACTATATAGGAAAACAGTCAAGCCATGTAAGATGTGTATGGAATCATGATTCCTTTTCCAAACACTTCCCATTCCCATGTTCCCCCTCCTAGAGTCCAAAAATAAAAAGCTTCTGCACACTTTGCTGTCCTGGAAATACACAAACAGAGAGAAGCCTTTTTACCTGTGTGGATCTGTACCTTGATTTTCTGAGTGGCATTGTGACTTCTGGCATTCTATACCCAGATGATTAATCAGGCTCATGGCTTATATCATGAATGCATCACACTTATTTACCTAGTTTCCTACAGGTAGACATTTAGCATGCTGCCAACATGTGCTGTTACAAACATGATTGCTATGACCATCCCTGTGTCTCTCTCCTGTCTTCTATGACATACTGATGTCATTACTGCTCAGCTGTGAGCTGAACTTGACATAAAATTCTTCAATAAAAAGTGAAAGTGACTGAGCAGCTCAAGGAAGACTGTTTCCTATGTGTTTTTTCTACAGTAGACTTCTACATCACTCCCTGCTGGATTGGAGTAATTTGGTTATGGTAAAGTTCACCATAGACTTTAGCCAAACTCCCCTGACCTGCTGTTGACTGAGTTGTGGTGGAAGGAAGGATCCAGTGCTGAGGGTGAGGGGCCTCAAGACCTGTCTGCTCCAGGCCTCAGTGAAGTTCTCTGCAGTTTTCACTGTTCCTTCCAACAATGACATCAACCATCCTCCTCAGGCTAAAAGTTCCCATAAACATGCAGCAGCCTCACCATCCTGAAAGTTCAGGTAAGGACTCAAAACTGACATTTCACACCTTTCTAGCTGCTTCTCTCCAGTCAAGGTGTCATAAGGACACTCTGGGCAGGGTAGCTTGATGGAAGCTAATTGCTTTACAGTAGCCTTAGAAGTTAGAGATCTTCTTGAATTGTTCTTTTTTTCCTTGTTCAACTTTTAATCCTGAAACAATTTGGATCTGCAGAAAAATCCCAAGTGTCCCTATAATCATCCAACTTCTTTTAATGTCAGCATGGTACACATCATGAAGCCATGATCAAAATTGACATGATACTGTTAACTGAGCCATGATCCTTACTGGGAATCCTGGGATTGGTTCCTCAAGTTTGAATGTTTTAACTGGGTGTGACTGCACACGAATGTAGTTCTAGTACATGAGTGAAATTCCAGCACTAGGCCGAAGGATTGGTAGTATGATGTCAGCCTGGTTTCCATATCGAGACCCTGTTTCCAAATAAACACCAGGAGTGGGAACATAGCTCCATGTTATACATAAATAGATAAAATTAAGTAACTAAATAAATAACATGCAAATGTTATGCTAATCTATACTGAAATATTAAAATAATAAAAACTACAGTAAAAAGACAAACATGGTAGTGCATACTTGAAATCAGGTGCTTCAGAGCACGAAGATCAGGAGTCTAAGATCAGCCTCAGCCACAGAGACTGAGGTTCCTGGGCTACGAGAGACCTCATCTCAAAATCAATAAACCAAAACCAGCCAAGCAAACTTCCAAAAAAGGTGGAGTTTAACTTTAACATTGGGATCCCTTCATTCTTGGTCTTTCCCTTTTAGAACCCCTCCCAAGGGAGATCTATGTAATTGCTTTGTACTTCTAGACCATGTCTAATACTGACATAATGAGGACTACATGTAAGCAGTTTTAAGTTTCTGCTATCCATTTTGAAAGCAAACAGCTGATAGTGCCTGAGAGATGGCTCAGCAGTTACATGTACTTGCTTCACAGTGATGATCAGACTGTGCACCAGCATCCACATAAGAAGACCCAACTCTAGGAATATCCAAATCTCAAAGTTAAAGTGGGCAAGGGAAGACAGAAATTGCTGTGGTTTTCTGGCTTCCTGTCTGATAAAAAACTCAGGAAGCCTTGGTTCAGGGAGAGATCCTGACTCAAAGGAACAGGCAGAGTGATAGAGGAGGACACTAGATACCCTCATCTGTCCTGCATCTGCAGGTACTCACACCACATGCACACACATGTGCATCCACTCTCACTTTAATCCACACACAAATAAATAAATGTCTATAAATAGAAATAGGTGACATTACTTTTAAGAACAGACTTTCTTTAATTCAGAGTGCATTGTGAGTCTGGTCATCTCAACACAGAGTAGATAGAAAATTCACTAGGAAGAATCCACACTCTTTCATTGTAAGCATTGGGATTTCAATGTGCATTTTACATTTATAGCATATCTCAACCCTGACTGGCTACTTCACTGTACTCAACAGATACACGGGGCTAGGATCTATTAGATCCTGTGACCCACAGCACATCTCCCATGAGTCTTTGTTTATCTGTTTACAAAAGATTACATATGGTAACTTCCCATTTTTTTCTTGGATAACATACTTTATTTAGATGGATGTGAAGTGTGAGGTGAAATAAATATAAGTGGTCTATTAAACCAATTCCCTATACATAGATATTTGGTTTTTTCCATTTCAAATATGGTTGAAAGATATGTTTTATACCAAGCCTATGTGCATTTAAATGTTATTGAGGTTTAGAATTCTAGAGGTGAACTTGGTTTGTCGGAGAATGTGATACTTTTAAAAATACTATAACATGAAACAGTAACATATTTTAAACAAATATAGCAGTAAGTGTATACCTAGATGCACATATTTTTAAAGGTAATCATCTTAGAAATCAAACAAATAAAATTTCTGAGACAGTGTCTCTTGTTCTTCATGCTGTCCTTGAAGTTCTTTTGTAGTACTTATGAACTTCTGATCTTTCTGCCTCTGTTCCTAAGTGCTGGTGATTACAGGTGTGGATCACCATGATGTTGAACCCAGGGCTGGGTCCATGTTGGACACTCTACTGTGTTATACTCCAGTCCCTAGAAATCTAAATTTTTATCTCAGCATGGTCCTTTCAATTTTGGTTTTGCTCTTCAAATTTGGCTGAAGAATCCAGTTAAAGTGGGTATGAGGTACAAATCTGCCAACAAGCAGTGGAGAGGCTGGTGCATGAGGAGCAGAGCTGCAGACCAAACAAATAAACAAACAAACAAGCAAACAACGACAACAAACACCCAAAGCAGAACCATATTAAGTAAATCATCCAGGTCAAGCAATTCTCACGAGTTTTCTGTTGGAATCCCAGCGATTTTTATGCTCATTCATCTCACCTTTTCTCCACTCCCCTCCCCCACCCCGCCCCGTTCTAGGATTCAGTGTTCTATCTGAGGGCCTCTACTCCATCTTGGTCTTCTAAATAATCCATACTTGTCACATGGTAGCCTAAGTATTCCAGCTTTCTCTTTAAGATTATCAATCATGCAGAATGGTGGTGGCACACTCCTTTAATCCCAGTACACAGGAGGCAGAGGCAGGAGGATCTCTGTGAGTTCAAAGTTAGCCTGGTCTATAAAGTGAGTTCCGGGACAGCCAGCGTAGTTACACAGAGAAACCCTGCTTTGAAAAACAAAACAAAACAGAACAGAACAAAACAACAACAACAACAACCAACCAACCAACCAACCAAACAAACAAAACGATTATCAATCAGATTCACGTACTCTGTTGTTGAGGACCTTTCAGCCATTTCCTGGGAGGACTGCCTTTCCAGCCTTTACCAACCCCTTCTGATCCTCTCTGTTTCAGTCACACTGGTTGGCTTCCTGTCTGCTTCTAGGACAGCCCAAGTTCTC